TTTTTTTTAGTATAGATAGTATTTATTTACCTCATGATATGCTGCAAAACCTAATTAATCACGAATTTCTAATTTTATGTACTCTTGTCTCCGATGGTACCTCCCAAACATCCTCAAGTATATTATACTGAGAATGTAAAAGGAAAACCTTTTCACAGACAAAAAACAAAGACAGAAATGCATTCACTATCTTATGATATGCTGCAAAACCTAATTAATCACGAATTTCTAATTTTATGTGCTCTTGTCTCCGATTGTACCTCCCAAACATCATTAAAAAAAAAAAATACTAAACCTGAAGCGGTGGTGATTTAACTATAGTGAAATTAATAAGTAATTTTTAACTGAAACTTGTTTTTCACGATGGAGTATAAGAGACACATCTATTGGTTGGACACACACTCTTATAATGTTCGCATTTCCCTAACACTAGAACTTATTTGTGAACAGTAATCTAATTTAGGTCTACCTCTAATCCACTTAACTCCTACTTCTGATCAGTATTTATTATCAGACTTACTAAACGCGATGTATAGAGACTGATCACGAATTGTAGGTTCGTTAATGTTCAACATTTAGGGTTCCGATCCTCAAAAAGAAACCCTTATAGAATTAGTTCGTTGTTTGTCTTTCGGTCTGTCAGGATCCTTTTCCTCAAAAATACATGGAGATATCAAGTAGAAGTTAATAGATATCAAGTAATGTAGCCTACAATCCCTCGTAGATGTGAAAGTCAATAAAAAATATGTCAATTGAATCGAAAGATACGGCTGTATAGAATAATAAAATTAAACGAAAAGCAAAAGTAAAGATAAAGAAATCCAAAAAGCGTAAATTTGTAGTTACATCTCAAATAAGATAATTTTACATAATATTTATACGTTTCCAAATAACGGTTAATAAACCCTAAAACAAGAACATAACATAAGATAACCGCCAGAAATACCTTACTCGATGAACCCGTAATGACCAATACCTACAGCTATCTGTAATGATTTACATCACAGAGACGTAGTCACTCGTAAAGCTGGACAGGTCAAAACCCAGGCTCTGAAAGTTCTATCCGATTATCACAAACCCAAGGTGGAATTTAAAATTATAGGGGTGTGTTTTATCCGTGGTCCATACTAAAAAAAGGCGGCTACGTCGCTGTTACATTTACTGATTGTTTAAAAAAGCGCATTCTTCATTCCAACAATTACCCATATAACGTTTTCCAAAAATAATGAATATTTTCACTTTTTAGATATTATGACAGAGATCGAGATAACGTATTAAGTCCTACCGAATTTAAATTAATAATAAGCGCAAGTAGAAAACTGAAAAGGCTACCAATTGATGCTGCAAGTGTGAAACAAGAAGCTGACTCTATTTTAAAGTAACATGTTTTTAAATTATTACTTTTTAAACTTTATGTTTACAGAAGATGTAGCTGCTTCTTTTAATTTTAACATAGAATTTGTGGCGAAATATCTATTTTTAGGGCAATTGAAGGTTTGTCATCATCATTATGATCATCATAAGGTCGTCAGTGCTAACACTGGTTGGACACGCACCTCCACTTATTCCTATCCTGAGCTAATCTTCCCAGTTATCTAAAACATCCCACATCCTTAACTATTCGTGAACAGTAATCTAATCTACGTCTACCTCCACTCCTCTTAACTGTCTAAGAAGGTGTTCTACCAACCTATCTCGCCTAGTTTTTATTGACTTCCATAGAGACCTCTGTTCTCCTGCAACACATTTCGAACGCTTGTAACCTTTTCTTTTCCGGAGCGCTCACTGTTCATGTTTCGCATCCGTACAGAACCGCGCTCCAAACATACACCTTTAACAATCTTTTTCGAACTACTAAATTAACCGTTCGCGTGCTGTTGCGTTGACTTCTTTTATTGAAAACTACTCGACCCTACGTTATCCTCTGCTTTATATCCCTACTACTCCTTTCGTCCTGACTTATCTGACTTCCTAGATACCTAAAATCGGCCACTTCTTCTAATTTTTCGTCTCCTATATTTATTATAAGACACCTTTTTTTTAATAACATAGTCCCCTTTTAGAAAGATACACTTCTCCCAACGACCCTGCCATTTTTTTTACCCCTCCAAAAAATAAGGTTTGTCGAACTCTCCAAAATCCCCACTGTCTCGGCGATGACTTCCTCGTTTCATCTAAATTTCTTTCTCGCTAGTCATTTCTTCCTGGTAGGTAACAAGATAAAGTCGCAAGTAGTCAAATCGAGTGAGGACGGGGTGTGCGGCAGCAAATTTATAACGTAATTTATGCATTTTGGCGACAACTCCTGCCGGTGCGTTATCTTGTTGAAAACGCACCTTCTGTTTCGTCAAATGCGTTCGTGTCTCCTTCAATTTTTTGTCGAAGCGGTCCAATAACTTACTGTAGTATTGTCCAGTGATCGTTCTTCCTTTTCCTAAAAAATCTGTAAAATGATTTCCTCGGTAACAACGTTTCCCAGGCTTCCTGGTCGCTCCTATCAAAAACGGATCTTTGCCCACGTTTAAATTCGTTGAAGCAATATCTAACCGTGGTCGTAGATGGCGAAATGTCTCCATAAACAGTATCCAACTTTGTTTTCATCTCCTCGCATTTTTTCCCATCCAAAAACAAAAAGCGAGTTACCGAATGATACTGCTCTTTTTCCATCTTAGCGAGAATAACGAAACACGTCTCAGTCGAATGGCTGCCAAATCCGAACTTATCTATCAATTATTCTGAAATTCGTTTTGGCGTGGTTTGATAGATGGCAGCACACGATGACAACACCAATTTCCCTCAGGAACGTCCTCTGTCTTCAAACACGGGTACTTATTGAACCGCCCTCGTATACCTGGCGCCTTATTGTTCTTTAAATTTTTTAATGCTACATCGAACTCTTCTCTCATTATGGGATAACCTATCTCCACACTATCATACTAACTCAGGGCCTGCGTATGGGTTCTTTAAATATTCTTTCCATGTATTTGCCCTTTTCTCATTTTCTGTCAAAATTGCCCTTGCCTCGTTTCTTGTATAATTAATAAGATGGTCATATTACGCGGGATTTCCCTACCACGTGTATTCTGTGATTTGAACATAATTTCCTTTTACAGACAGAAATGACCTACATCGATGTCGATTTATTTCAAATGAATAGGTAAATAAATTAATCTTACATCTATTAAATCAGAATTCTTTCCAGAACCATCGGTTTGGGAGAAACCAGCAACGTAACAATAGCTCAATTTTTAAAATGTGTCAGCGATTTAAAGTTCCGTGGAACTTCGCAATTGTTTCGTTTACAAAACAGCATAAACGCCTACATAAAGAATCAGTAAGTATGTAATATAAAAGCTAAGTTACAAAAAATTCCCCTCAAATTCTATTTAAGTCGTTACGTACATCCAAATTATTTATTGTAAATTACATGTTAAGGTATCTATAATAATTACATCATTCGATAAGTAGATCAGCTACTAATAATTTAAATTGCAGAAAAAATAATTATCGAGGCATTCAAATTCAAAAATCAGATTTAAGGATCATTAGAAGTAAATCAATAACTTTTAGGCAGGGCTATAGAAGTTGACCTAAACCGGCGATCATAGAATTATAAACCGAACGCCGATTTTTGCCTAGCTTATAGGGCCAATTTATTATAATAAAAAATTGAGCAAAATTCGGGAATGAAGCAGTACGGCTCTGTTATTTTTTTTTATTCTCCCTGGAAAACTAAGTAAGGTAGATCATAAAATTTTACAATTAATTAATCGACTACCTTTTACCCGCTGCTTCGCCCGCGTTGATGTCCTAAATGTTGTCACCTCTCGTAGTTTTCCTTCATTAATTTGAGGTAGTTTGTAGTGGGTAAATAAAAAATCGAAAAAATGATTTCAAATTAATATTGCACATTTATAATATTAGTTGAACCTTGTATCCAATTAAATGATAGTATACAATCTGTAATTGAATATGCCTAATCTATACTCTACGATTTTCATCGTTTATGTATAATGTGACTGTGGTCATACACGGCAAAATAACTATAGAAAAAAATGAAAATAAACATACTTATTGTTAGTTTTACACAGTCGTTATTGTCCGTCCCCACCTTATATTTTAATCATAAGTATTGTTTAACAACACTTGTTTTATTTATAGTAATACAACTAAAATATTGTGAGGAAAATTAATGAAAAACTAAATCGTTTTTTTTTACTTAAAGTTAACTTAAGTAATATTCGGTTAGTAAATGTGAAACTTATTGAATGATATTTCCTTCTTCCATTCTAGGGGAACTAAATTACAGGGCAACATAAGTTCAAGTCCTGCATTTTATTCTAAAAATACCGGTAACACAGCAGGTAAGATTATTAAAACAATTACTTAAATGAGTCTGGTATACACAAGTCATTTATGTAACATAATAACACTATGTCACTGCAAAATTGGCACTGTTCCTCATAGGATGCTCGTCACTTATTATTTATATTGTTATGGAACATTTCTAATCCTAATACTTATTGCAAGACTCTTTCGTCGTGTCAGTCTTGTTTACTATATGATTAATGGGCTGCTTATACCATCTTTCACTTACATGAAGTGCCGTCAGTATCGATTGCCTGCGGCATTCGGTCAAAGCAGTAAATATATTAATGTGTGGTTTCATAAGGTTGTATACCTGAAAAGCTCGATTCATATTATTTGAAACAATTCACACCCCCAGTTTCAAACTCATGTAACACTGGGTGGTGTTGCTTTTTCACTCTAAACCTTTTTTATTTTGGTTGAAATTAATTAGTCGTTGGAGCTTTTCAAAACTTTTTGTTTAAGTCTACGAAATTAAATTATATGGGGTATATGTAGTGCAATTAACCAAACTAGATAACAAATAGAAATTTATCATAGTTGCTCATTTCGAAAAAGTGAAGAAGAGAGAGAGGTTTAGGTCATTACTTAGCATTCGGGAGGACCCCGGTTAGATTCCGGGTCCGTCTGCCTTGGTCCAAGTTTTTCTGTGGTTTCCTTGGAACACTTAGGCAAAATGCTGGGGCCGTAAACTTTAATTCTCTTCTGTCTTCATTTCGTCCGTCTTATCTTTCTCACCTGAACCACCACCCACCCATTCCCACGATTCCTGGAAGGAGGCTGAAGAGGGCCTTCCGCCCTATCTTTCGGCGTAGTCCGGAGGTATTACCCGCCCACCAGTATTACTGACTGATGGGAATGAAACACCCGAATGTTTTTTTATATACATATTATTTCAATAATTTACTAGCATGTATCTACTAAATTTAATTGTTTCATGTTTCATTTTTTGTCTAATTCTTTTATAACTTATAATGGATGAGTATAGTATATAAACTACAAGAATAAAAATTAATAACATTGGAAGGGTGATATTTAATTTTAAATCAATGCTAGCTCCACATTTGATATACAATTTTTGGTTTATATTTGCAAAAATATTAAAACTCAAAAGGTCCTGTGCATTTCATCTGTATGGTACAACACCACAACATCCTTATTAATAAGGTGACCATACGTCCCGAATTGGCCGGGACAGTCCCGGATTTCCATCTTGCGTTCCGGATTTTTCTAGAAGCAATATTTGTCTCGGATTCAGGTTTTTCGTCCCGGATTGTCCCGAATTTTTGAAAAGGTTCTTTTTTTCAATATTTATTTTAAATATATTTCAACTAAAATTACTTTTACAAAATTTGAACCGTTAAAATTGTGCATATCAAAATACACCACTATGGGTTGAAATTGAATCTTCGCTATTACTTGTTAATAAAATTACGATAACCCATCAAATATCTGAAAATAATATATACGACGAGTATGCTTATATGAAAGAAGAGAAAATTGCCGAATGAAAAAATAACCGAACTGCATCAATCCAAAGGTGGATTGAAATGGTCTCTCACTTCAATAATCGTGAACTTCCATTTTCAAATTTACGAAAATTAGCAGAGTTCTTTTTCTGCCTGCCTGGCACAAATGCTTCTACGGAAAGAATATTTTCTTTAATGAATAACCTTTGGACAAGTGTCAAGACTCGACTTAAAATAGACACACTAAAAGCGATATTACTTACTAAAGTTAATTATGAAGAAAATTGAACAGAATTTTATACAATACTTCAAAGTAAAAAAGACCTACTGAAAAAGATCCATAGTTCAGAAAAATATAAAAAGTTTTGTACTCAGTAATTCTGATTTAAAAAAATGTGATTCATTTAAAAAAAATACTGATTTTTATTATATCCTTAAATAGTATTTGTTATGTATAATTTTTATTAAAACAATCATATTTAAATTATTTAACTTAACTACCCCCCTCCCCACCTGCTACAAGTTCCCGTTCCGGATTTGAAATAAAAAAATATGGTCACCTTATTATTAAGCACAAAAGTTTTATACACTTACATTTGGTCGTTTTTTAGGAAAAGTCGCCGGACCAGTTCCTACCATCGAATACGTGTTTGCTCAACATTCTCTCCGAATCCTAGAAGGTGGAACTGAAATCAACATCCAGCAGTTAACTGATATCGATAGTAAGTTAATGTTAATGACTAGTAGGTGTAGTCACACGAATAAGTCGCTCGAGATTTTCTTTCCTTAAATTCTTTAATAGATTTACAACTTATTTGAATTTTTTGACCACTGTTGTTTCTTCTAAGACTTTTAATACCTTGTTTTGACACGTCAACACCATGCAGTTTTACAGCAATAATTTTTTATTCAACCTTTTATTTATATTATTATTATATTTATCATAGTACTTAGACGCCCGGGATACTGATGAAATTACCTCTAAGGACTTCTATTGATGTTATCTGTGTGGTAAAATGTAAATGATTAGGTATATAATGGCACGAAGTTTATATTGTAGCGACCACGAGCGTGATTGTGTGCGATCGGGCATACATGTGTGTGAGCGGCTTATAGATTCGCCGACTAGCCGCGGGCGCCTTTCTTCATGTGCGCCGTTTTTGTAATGTGTGTGTCGTACCTTCGTTCCGGGAAAGCAATTAAACAGTTCAAAGAAAACGAGACTTTTCTGGACGGCTCGAGAATGTTCCCGAAAGGAAGCAAGGGAATATTTAAAGGAAGAAACGATCGCCGAGGTGGAATAGAAATAAATTGACCGTTGCAGAAGTGAATCAAGAGATAAATTGACAGCGATGGAAGTAAAATAAATAGAACAGTGAATAGTAACAGTAGTGTAAATAAATAGAATAATTACCTAAATTTAGTAATATTTGAATAGTGTTTTTAAGTTCAATAATAATTAGCGTAAATAAATAGCTTTCGTCTTAAAAGTTAATTTGTTAAACCCACAAACATTACAATATGTATAGAATAACTCCGTGCTTTTTTTTAATGTTTTATATTATAATAATACATGTATACGGTACATTATATAATAATTTATTAACTACTTAATTAATTAATTACATTTTTGTATCCAGCCGGTGTATCAGCATCAAGTACAGGAATTGTCGGTAGTAATGCCTCGAGACGCATGTCACTTGATCAATTCAATCAACAATCGCTAACGAACGAGCTCATAAAGTCGTTAAGATTCCTGGCATATAACAACAAGAAAAAATACGAACCGCTAAAACTAGCAAAAACATTTCCTGACTACAATTGGGGACCCGTGGATCCGAGCGTTTTTTGCAGACAGCTGTCGCAAGTTTGTGATTCGGTTAAGAAAATTTTACGAGAAGAGAAGCGAATGATTTCTCTAACGTCACCTATATATGTTTTAGGTGAATATCTGTTTAAATAGAGATAGGGATAATTAATTGTTACGATGTACTTGAAACAGAAGATGCAAATATTAATTGTAAAATTGTTTTGAAAATTCACTTCAACTACAAAACGCAAAATTGATATTTTCTGAATAACTTTTAAAATACTATAAAAACTATTCTAGTGCTTCAATTTGCCTTCCAGTGTGACAATATTCACAAATCTAACTCTACCTCCCTTTACTTCTGTTCCTGCTTCTAATTTGTCTCTAATCAATCCTCATATATCTAACTAACCCTTCAGTCCTAGAACAACAAAATCATTTAACTGTACTATTTGTTTCCAACATAAAAACACTACTAAAAACCTAATGTTTTCTTTGGGAAAAATCAGATGACTGATAATTTTAATTTTTAGGCGATTTACATGGAAATTTTCCTGTGTTATTGGAATTTGAAAAAAGTTTTTGGTGTTTTGGACCCGCATTATGCCCTTGTAGTTTATTGTTCCTTGGAGACTATGTTGACAGAGGAGTATGGAGTATCGAAGTTATAACATACCTGTTATGTTTTAAAGCGCAATTTCCAGACAAAATTTTTCTCATTAGAGGCAATCATGAAGTAAGAGAAGTCCAAAAATCGTTTTCTTTTTATGAGTAAGTTCGTTATTCTACTATTAATGGAAAAAATATCTAATTATACAAATAGATTTTAGAACCATTTAATGAAGTTTCAATTACTTACGATTAGTTCATTATTTTTATTCTTGAATAGAATTTACATTTACTTGATGAAAATCCATACTCATTGTCAAACCAGAAAAAAGAAACGTTTCACAAATTGGCCAATTAACCTTGACTTCATTAGACAAACAATTTGTGAAAATGTTTGCAAAGCGTTCTTTTCAACATTTTTTGCTTCTTCTCAGTACGCTTGATTTCAAAGTATTAATTGTAATTACGTTCGCCATTTACCATTAAAAATGTTTATTATGATGATGGTTAATTATGGATCGATTAAAAAAAGGACCTACAAACAAATCTAAAATTTCAGAGAATGTAATAAGAAATTTGGCGAAAAACTTGGCCCATCCGTATGGAACCTCGTAAATACTGTATTTGATGTCATGCCATTGGCTGCCACAATAGATGGTCAGGTATATACCAAAATAACTTTACAGATTAGGTATTATTGTTATCTTAATTTAGTAATACGTCTATTGAACAAAATTTCATCCTGCATGTTTCATATTCTTTTTCAATCTTTAAAATTTAATTCTCAAATAGCTTTTCTTTTAACACAAACAGTAACAACCCATTTAACATAGGCTATTATTGGTTTACTATTGGGATCCGTCAAATGGGCATACACCATCTGGTGGCAAAATTTATAACTCGAATGAGGGAAAAATTTACATAGGAACTGTGCACACAAATTGTAAAATTGTTTATTAAAATAATAAAACACGATAAAAAAGTAAATTTTTTTTTGATGATGGAGTCGACGAAGTTTTCTTCTAAAGTTAAATCAAATAAAAAGTTAATATGTTCAGTGAAAAGCTGCAATAGCACTTCAGACATAGATCTTCACTTTTCACCTACATTAACTACTTTCCAATAAAAACTAACAGTTTTATATATGTAAAAAATATATTCGGAAAATTAGAGTAAAAGGTAAACTAATAGAAGCTTGGATGAAAGCAGTAGGTAGGTATTACTAGGTAATTCCGGAATAAAAATTTGTTCACGTCATTTTAATGCACATAATTATATTTCAGCAAGTATTTACCATCATTCATAACCTTAATATTTAAAACTAGAATCATACTAAAATTATAAAGTGAGAAATTATTTATTCCTGTGTAATTGATTTAACCCAATTCTAATGATACGATATAAGTATTTTGAGGTTAAGAACCTACCTGCTGCAATACAACAAAGTTGCAATAATGTGTTTGCAACGTTCTCTTAAATCGGCTTTGCTCGTGCAAGTCATTGATATGATATTGCTTAAATCACCCAGAATCACCTCACCAATTATATAACGTGAATCACTTTTTACATCACAGTAAACTTGACGGAATTTGTTATTTCCGAATTTTATAATGTGATTGGCATTAAAAACACGCTCACCTTCAAAGAAATTTCCTTTCTGAGGCTTTGTGTCAGCCCAATCATATATTGTGTCAATACTTATCATTTTATCGTAATTTAAAGACTTGGAAATTGTACGGTACCTACACTACAGGAACTACGATAAATTTTCCCTAATCGGCACCATGTTTTTAGGCTCCTCCCATTTGACGGATCCCAATATACGTGCATAAAGTTTTTTAAAAGCAAACAAGCCAAAACCAAGTAAAGTGCAAAACGTTTGTGTTGATTTATATTAAATGGACATATCTTGTATCTTGTGGTGACATAAATAAAATGACTATCACTCACGCATGGAATCTTGACCCATGTCATCTTAGGTTCCCCAGTAACATCTCTGCAACTCAAGGTCATAGCCCGTGAAATTCTGTATTACCTCTACAAGTTTATGATTATTTACGTGAGGAATTAATTGGTTAGAGTTTGAAATATAGTAATTCATATTAATAAAATAAAAAGGGGTCCACTGAAATATTTGCGGGAGAGTCCCTTTATCGTGGGAGGTGGGACTCAACGTATTGCATTAACCTAACCTAACTTGATTTTACAAAAAATTTATGAAGAATTTAATATTTTAGTTGATAAAACTGGTGGGTTACTATACAAGATATTTTGTTAGTCGCTTCTATGCATATATTACTATTAATTACATATACCTATTGGTAATTACTGATTAAATTCATAAACAATTACTTAATTTACTTTCTGTAGCGATGTGCCCCTTCCAATGTCTTGGATACGCGCTGGCAAAATCGTAGATAGGGAGAAAAAAGCTCATTATGCTCTCGACTCTTGTTAATTAAATATACTTCTTCATACAGTACCTGCCAAAAATTTTGTTCAATCATGAATAGTAGTGCGAGTCGAAAACAAGCGTTAAAGCCTTTAATATGTCTTCAAATATAAATAAACATCTCGTTGATATTTTCAGTCGTAAATGCTACCAATAAGAGCACATTCGAGCAATGCAACTGTAGTGGATAAAATGGTCAATTTTTCCGTGCATCACTGTACGGATTATACGCTCCTCATCGGTTATGAGTTTGGCCGAGAGTTGTCTCCTTCCTTTTCTGGTCTAGTGCTGTTCTTTGCTACCTTGCGCCAGTCAAACTGAAGGTCACATCGCTACAGAAAGTAAACGAAATATACTTTGAAGGTCCGATTTCACTTTTAGATAACTTTACTGGGAAAACTGATCATACTATTGCAAAATGAGATTCTCCTACTTTGATTTCTTCACTGTTACTTAAATCGATTATATTTGCATTTTGCAGAGCATTAGTGCTTTGTGCTTAAAGTTAAGAAACGCTGCTATTCAATCCCTTTCATGAACAAGTAGACTTAGAAACGAATTACTTTGTAAAAGTATTCAAAGGGTTTAAAGTATTTTCAATTGCTTGGAAGTTCAAATCTAATTGCTTTCGAAGTAATTTATAATCCGAAATCCTTGAATTTTAAAATTTCATTGGGATTTTAAGGGCTAAAATCCTTTAAGAAAGGGCTTTGAGTTTTGGACTATTATGTTTTGAAGTTTAAAACTGAAACTAAATTTCTGTAAATATAGAACTGCACCATGAATATACCTTAAAATAGCAATTTTAGAAAATCTCAAAGTCCAAATGTAATGGTGAGATTGAAAGTCAAACGAATTAAAAAATTCCTAAATTAGACCTGCAACAAAATCTTATAAACCTGTGATACAAGTTTTGTTATCTTGCATAAAATATCCTTCCTTATCAGCGAGGTGAGTGTAATCTAAACTTTTACTGCCCTCTGCTTAATGTAGCCATGGGAAGCCGCTATTACACAAAAATATACGTATATCACTATGGAGTATGTCTAGAGAAAAAGGTTTGTTTCGTGTTGGACATTTACTTATTGAAAATTATTCTAGTTATTTTGTTGCCATGGTGGAATTCCACCCCCGTGGCTATGTCCAACAATATCTGCCCTGTACAAGATTCCCATCGAACTGAGTAAACCCGCTGAGCAAAGTTCGCTAGCTTGGGAATTAATGTGGAACGACCCTGTAAAGTATGCACCACAATATATTCTTTTAATAACCACAATGTTTACCCGTAAAATAAAGAAAACAAGACGTAATATCCCAAAATTTCACATAAAACTTTAAGCATCTAACTCGTGTTCCCATGCCACCCAAGGTGCCTGAATCCTCAGTAAGTTACAGACTTTAGATTTTTACATTGGCTTTATTGACATTTTATTTGAAATTGTGGATTGTATTATTTGGTTCAGTTTTACAAAAATCCATTTGACTTTCTTATATGTATACAAAATAAAGAATAATTGGATACTATCCACTGAACATAACAAAAAGTTCTGGTGATCAATATTTTATTGACACTGTGAGGCGTAGATTGTGATTTGAATCTCATTTTCCTCATCACCACGCCATACTACAATTAAACTGCATTCTATGAATGCTGCTTATTATGGAATTCATTAGGTATAGTTGGGACAATCAAAATTGGCATAGTCCATAATAAATTTTATCTGTGAGAATGGATGTAACTCATTTCGTGTTTCCACTTGAAACCGTTGGAATTTTCTGCATTCTAACACGCCCTTCTTAAGTTAAGAAATGCTTCATGAGTACTACAGAAAAACTGAAAAGAGATAACCGAATGATAGTAACCGGTGCAACGGTTAAAGGTTGCTTAGGTGCGCAAAAGATCAGGGTCGGCTTGGTTAGAACTATATCTTTAGACAAGCGTCTTTTCTATCCTAAATTCCTGAAATTGTAGAACATTCTTTAAAGTCTGGCGCTGGCAACTTGCTCAAATTCTGGTTGTCTACATCTATTTCTGTTGAACTGACTCATTCTTTATTAGTGTCAGCTACAATTCCTCCCTGAGATCTGTCTTCTGTGCTTACTACATTCCCTACAACGTTCTGTCAGCACCTGCTCTAGTCTAGTTAGTAAGTTGAAAGAAGAAAGAAAAGGCGACAGTTTTATTGAGGACTATGTCAATTTTGAACATCCCAACAATAGATAATGTTCGACAGGGTAGGATATTCACTTGCCGAAATGAACCCACGGCAGGGCTCCTACGAAGCAGGCAGTTTCGACAGATACTGACATCAAGAATCATGAACTTTTTGTTTTGCTTGGCTACGCTCGCTCCGTGGCCACACAAGTGTTCTGCCGGAACTGTCTACGATGTGCTGATGAGGTCCAGTCAGATCTAAATCGAAATCCACGTCTAGCAGTTTCGACAGAATACTCTGACCATCAAAAACTTTTTATTTTGCTTGGTTAACAGCTACCACGTGGGCTCACTACGACAAATCGGTATCCTTACTATGAACCTTGCGAGACATAGTCGAATTCCAGGATAATTACCTATTTTCTATTGATGCCTTTCACACTATGACTGTACGTATTCTTTGAACGTGTTCATTCATTTGATAGGCAGAACAGTCTAAATGAGCAAGTTGCCATGGAATTGATGGCCAATGAAGGTTTTGCTAACAATAAAAAACGAGGTACGGCACATATCTTCAGCTATGAAGCACTAGACAGGTTTTTGAATACAAACGGTTACTCAAATCTGATAAGAGCACATGAAGTTGTACAAGCTGGATTTCAAGTAAGTAAATAATGTATATAGTACAATTAATATATAAAATACCACAAATGGCGCGGAAAGAGCCATCTGTAGTACGATGCTACATTTTAGGATTTCGTATGTTCCAACCTGTCGAAACTGCCAGGCGCAGATCGCGATTTCGATCTTTTTAGATCTTATCAGCGCGTCGCAGACAGCTCCGACAGAACACAGACCAACCTTTACCTGCTGTCTTAACAGCGCGTTTTATAAAATACCACAAATGGCGCGGAAAACGCCATCTATAGTACGATGCTACATTTTAGGATTTCGAATGTTCCAACAAGGTCCATTTAAATATATGGATATCTACTTGGTGAAACGAAATCCGGCGGGGATATCAGATGGGGATTACTTTGTAGGGGACAAAATAGATATTCACGAATAAATAAATAATTTTTGAAAAAACACAAAATTCGCGATACTTTTTGAACATACATTGTATGTAAGTATTTTGTCGCCATCTTGATAGCGTATAATGGGTTAGAACTACCCAAACATACTACTACCCGTGTATTTCCTTAGACATCTCTAACCGATAGTGAATGATGAGCAATGGGATCATATTTAATCAAGAAACGCTAAACTTTAATCAAAATCTGTTTAATGTAAGAAGTTTTAATGATCTTTTACAGTTGCAAATGAAAGGAAAATTATTGACAATATTTTCTTCTTCACAATACCAAGGAGGTACCAATGATGCAGCTATGATACTTTGCGAGAGAGGCAGGCTTAGAATCATTAGAACAACTGGCAGTAACGTCCCTTGATACTTATTATTTTTTGTAACAATCGAACGTTTGTATTTATTATTGTATTGCTTTTTCAAAACATATAATAAAATATGAACTTGATTGATTTTACAACTTTTTTATCAGGTGTTTTATTGATTTGATGGCTTATAGTTGAGTGGCTGACTTTCAGTTCCTTTGTTGTATCGGTGGATTCACTTGTTCGGTCCAAATGTCCAATTTTTTCAAGTCATTAGACAAGAGTTCTGATAAACTGACTTCAGCCTCCAATCTCCAGTTTTATTCTTTGGCACTCAATTAGATATTTATGTTTAATTATCAATTACAAGTCAAAGAGGGCATTGTCTTAATTGATTAGTTTTGTTTAATGTGAGATATGATTGGAAATCAATTGGTTATTTGACTGTAATACCATCCACTGTCTTCTACACTGTTCCACCAAACATTTTAAAAGAAAAGTATGGATATCTATAATTCTAAATTTATTTAGTCGTCGATTTCCTTCTTACACTTGGTTATAAAATACGTAAATACCAAAAGCTACTTGACTTTTCTCAAAATAAGCCATATTCTAATTGTTCACCGACAGATAACTGGGTAACAAAGTGAACATTTTCTGCTTTCAAAACAGCTAACTTTGCTAAACCAGTAAGTCCATATTGATCTGGTGGATCAAAGTTAAAAATAACCTGCAATTTGATCAGTTAAACTTATTTAATATAATTGAATAATTAATCTAAATAATTTTACAAAATCAATATAGCTCCACATCTAATGATTGTAATGTACCTAAAAGATATATTACGTTTTTCTTTTGTTTTAAAGCTTGGAGCCTGTTAAACAAATAAATGACCGATTGGCAAAATCCACTAATTTACATTCTGCAAGTCTTGTTTCACATATATGTGATTGGGATAGCTCCCCTGATCTCTAATTTTATCAGTGTAACCATCTGAACATCCCCACAGTCCACGCACTTTGCATTTTCAAAAAAATTAGTTACGCCACTACTTTACAAATTATTTTTAGGTGTTTTATTCCCACCAGCCACTAATGCAGTCCTTTCGGACTACGCCAAAAAGTAGGACGGAAAGCCCTCTTCAGTCTCCTTTCAGGAATGGAAGGAATGGTGGTGGGTCGAGTGAGAAAGGTAAGACGGACGGACAGAGATACGAAAGAATGAATAATTATCTGTGAAATATTACTGCCTTAATGATCCAAACAAATCTTAGAAAAACTTGGACCAAGACAGACGGACCTGGAATCTAACCCGAGTCCTCCCGAATGCTAAGCAATGGTCTAAACATCTAAGCCATGCCACTCGGTCTACTTTCAGACTAAAAAAAAACTTTTGGGTGTTTCATTCCCACCAGCCAGTAATGTTGGTGGGCGGGCAGTCCCTCCGGACTATGCCGGAAGGTAGGGCGGAAGTCCCTCTTCAGCCTCCTTTCAGGAATCGTGGGAACGGGTGGATGGTGGTTCGGGTGAGAAAGACGGACGAAGTGAAGACGGAAGAGAATGAAAGATTATCTATGGAATATTACTGCCTCAGCATTTACCTAAGTGATCCAAGGAAACCACAGAAAAACTAGACAGACGGACCCGGAATCGAGCCGGCATCCTCCCGAATGCTAAGCAATGGTCTAAACCATAGACATATATTAATGGACGTGCCTTAGCCGTATGTCGTTGTAATAATTTCTTGGCTCGAAAAGTGAAGAAGATGGCGTATGGTTTCGGACCAGTGCTATCTCCTTCATGACACGCTTACGCACGCTGGGTCGTTTGTTCGTTATACTATTGGTTGATTCCATGCAAACATGGCGTTATCCCCAGACCCCATTTACCTCATTCACACATGTCTTCACGTTACCCCGTAATCTACATCATTTCTGGCGGTGTGACGTAATATATAGACGGCTCCTAGCATAATCTTCAAAATGTAAGAATAAATGTACAAAACGTTTGACGCTTATTAGTTGATGGAAAATCAAACAGCACTAACACTCTTTCCCTCGTTCCTCGAAATATCCGGGTTCCGATGATAGCTTTTCTAGTGAAAGCAACAAGGAAAATATATGTATCTGTTTTGAATTGAGTATCAATGAAATTTTTAAATTTTCGAATTTTAACATACCGATAAATATTCATCGTAGGTAATCCAACCGTTCAAATCAGTATCTGCTGATGTAAATTTTTCTTTCCTTTCTTCATACGTATGGGTATCGCCAAGGCATTCCAAAATGGAAGCACTAAAATTCATAGGTATTTGTAAAAAAATAAAGCATTTGGAATGAGTAACCGTATTTACAAATCCTCATAGTCCAACATCCCGTTCATGTTGTTGTCAAAAAGTAGAAAAAGATTGTGCAAATTAGAAACAGTCACGTCATCCCACCCAGGGTACTGTTCCGCAATTTTCTCAAAACTTGTTCTGACGTCTTTCTCGACAGTTTTCAGGTCGGATTGTCTTTCTTGATCTAACCTTGTATAGAACGACTGGACCAATTTGTCATATTCGGTTAATTGACTTCTTTCTTGTTCAACATCTTTTGAAATCGGTTCGCCTACAAAAAACCCCACACGATCCCAAACTGTCTAAATAAATGAACACTATTTCTTCACAATTTTTACTCGAACTAAACAACAGTTTAAAATAAAAATTCCGCTGACCAATGCCGTTGTAAAAGAGATGGTAGACAACTAATTTTCTCTTGATAATAGTTTTCGATCGAGTGTTCTTAGAAAGTGGTCATAATTAAAGAGATACTGCAGTGACCATCTAAAAAATCAAGTGAACCTTAAAATTTTTGGAAAAAAAAATCGGTTGTCTGTAAAGTCGGTTTACTGACGATAGTTGAACGTGACAACGTCATAAGAAAATACTGATGGAATGGTTTAATTTTTCAAAAGAAAATTTTAATTTTATTTGTTTGATAGATATTTTATATGGATATAGAGGAGGTAAATGGAAATGTATTATTGTATAGCAGCTGTCCACACGGACGCATCGCTCACTCAAGTAGGAGAGAGACAGATGTCGAACGCTGCCGAACGCGGAGGCCGATTGTGCCTCTTTGTCGCTCGTTCCGCGCTCTCGCTTGCACTTCAAGCCTTAAATGGAACGCCTCAGAGCGAGGTAACGCCGCATGAGTCATGTTTTTTCGTGCGTGCAGCCGGCTCCATCGAATTATAAGACGTTGTCACGTCAAAAAATGGTTTTCCTATTTGCATCAGAAATATGCCCAATTATTTAAAATAATGTTACAAACTTTGGAAAGAAATGACCCTTTTTGAAAATATTTTACAAATACTACGTCTATTAATAGTATAACTATTATCTGCTTTCGGACTGAAGACGCCCGTGAATACCTACGCTTATTTATTACGTCTATTAATGTTTAAAATACTATAATCGTATGTTTTAAATAAAAACGTTAAATATTTAATTCTGCATCATTTACCAAATTATCTTTAACTACACATTACACCGCATTTTGGGATAGTATATACTATATAGTAAAAAAAATGCTCACCAACCTATCTGTTATGTAATTGTAATAACTTTGTTACTTAATAAACTTTCAAGAAACCTCATCTGAAGCATTTCTTCAAGTAAAACGGTATTAAAAATTCGTAAGATTGCGTTAAAACGATAGACATCCATATAAATATCTACCAACACTTAAAATCATTAAGTTACCTGTCGTTGTAAAATCTTCACTTCTAAAAAAACAAATCGGTTTTCTTTTAATAGGATAATCGAATAGCCTTTTCAAAAGTTTGCTTATTCTGTTTCCCATTTTGAAAAAGAAGACAAAGCAAAAACGTCAATTACCTATCAAAAAAAAATTAAAAAAGTTACTCTAAATTCTTGTGTTTTAGATCCTTCAAAAAATATAACAGAAATGAGCGAAATTTTTGTAAGAAAACTTTACAAATTAGAAAAAAAACCCAGTCAAGATCATATCGGATTTACATCGGGGGCGGCATTTGCAAGACACAAATGTAAAGATCTTCTTTTAAACAGATCTACGCCTAGATTCGAAACCACATTTCCTAGTAGTAGAAGAGTTTGTGGCGAAAAAAATAAAAAACCAATACAACTTTCTTTGTACAAGAAATCGAACTCCAACGCGCCTGGTTGCGACTCCGAAACAACGATTATGTTTGACGATTACACTTTTTCAATGGAATTTGATTTAATTAAATGAAACGTATGGGAATAAGAATCATTAAATCAATTAGAAATTTAAATATTTTTTTTCAGAAGAACAATGACCCTACCCATATAAAACTAAGAACTAATTATAATTATGTAACATCACATTAATAAATCATTTAAAAAAAAATGGTTTTATTTTATCTGATGCTAATTCTGTTGGAAATAATTCGTATTTGTGTAATGTGTGTGTGTTAAATGTAAACCCGACTTTAGTCATTATCCTGTTAACAATAAGAAGAACGAAATTCTATAACCTAATTTATGCTCTCTAACCTCTAAAAAATAAAATAAACAAAACAGTCAAAGAAAATAGCTAGTTATTTAAACTGATCTAATTTTATTTCAAACGGTTTTCACCGGTATACGCCTAATTATGGCTATTAATTACGACATTTTAAAGCAGGAGTATAAGGTATTCCTTATTGTTTTATTTGTTTTTAAATTAACCTAAATACCAACCTTTCAGGAGCTTCTAAGTACTGTCTTACAAACAAACAGTATTGATATTTTAGAACAAAAAAATAAAACACTGCAAAGAAATGATTTAGATCTAAAATCTCCTCTTGATCAAGCCTTCAGAGACTATGCACTAGAGTTACTTACAGAAGATGGTAACGTTCAAGTTTTGCAAAACCTTATTGTTTTGTGTATTGCTTCATGCAGAAAAGGAATGACCACTCCTACAATTCCTGTTGTATTACTTGGAGATATTTTTGATGCAGTCACATTAAATGTTTGTGAGGAACTTTTCAGTTTTGTTGAATCCAATGTTAGTGTCTGGAAAGAGGAATTGTTTTTTATATCCTGCAAGAACAATTTACTTCGTATGTGTAATGATCTTCTAAGACGTCTATCACGATCTAGTGCAACCGTTTTTTGTGGTAGAATTCTATTGTTCTTAGCCAAGTTTTTTCCATTTTCGGAAAGATCAGGTTTAAATATAGTAAGTGAGTTTAATTTAGAAAATATTACTGAATATGGAGCTGACACTACCGAAGAAACACCAACAACAGACTCAGAATCTAAGAAGAATATTGTAATTGATTACAGTCTCTACTGCAAGTTTTGGTCATTGCAAGATTTCTTTAGAAATCCTAATCAATGTTATAACAAAGTTCAGTGGAAAGTTTTTACATCGGTAATTTAATGTGTTCTCTAATTAAATTTGTCTGTACAACTAAGTTTTTCTTTTTTCAGCATACTACAAATATTCTAAATACTTTTCAAGGTTTGAAATTGGATTATGTTAGTAAAAATATTGACTGGACTGATAAAAATAATGAAAGTACTCCATACTTTTCCAAATACTTAACAAACCAAAAACTTTTAGATCTTCAAATATATGATGTAAATTTTAGAAGATTTGTATTACTGCAGTTTTTAATACTATTTCAGTACTTAACATCAAATGTAAAATTCAAAACGTATGTAAAAGTGTAACACTTTACATAAAAAAAATTGTGTTTATCATTTTATTTTATTTATTGTTTTTTAGCGATTCATTCGAACTAAAGGCTGATCAGAAAGAATGGATACAAAATATTATCGAGAAGGNGGTTTAGACCAGTGATGGGGGACGTGCGATATCAAGGCCACATGAGCCCTTTGTGGACTTCTTCTGAAGCTTTAATGTTTGTTAACCCTTGTATAATTATTTAATACTATTTCAGTACTTAACATCAAATGTAAAATTCAAAACGTATGTAAAAGTGTAACACTTTACATAAAAAAAATTGTGTTTATCATTTTATTTTATTTATTGTTTTTTAGCGATTCATTCGAACTAAAGGCTGATCAGAAAGAATGGATACAAAATATTATCGAGAAGGTTTACTCCCTTCTACGAGAAACCCCTCCTGACGGTACCAAATTCGCCGAAATTGTTAAAAATATTTTACATCGTGAAGAACACTGGAATACATGGAAAAATGACGGCTGTCCAGGTACTTAAAAAGAATATTTATTGAATTAATTTGAAAAACAACATCGGTGACTTTTAGAATTTAAAAAAGGTCTTCAAGCAAACCAAGAACTTACTGCGGAGAAAAGACGAACAATTATCGAAAGACCAAAATTAGGCGACATTATTCGTGATGCAAATAACGATGGCAAATATTACCTTGGGACGTAAGTAAATTAAAAATTATAGGAATAGTTATTAACAATAAAGAACTGAAAAAAAATCTAAGGGTATTTTTTCTTNCCTCTTTGTCGCTCGTTCCGCGCTCTCGCTTGCACTTCAAGCCTTAAATGGAACGCTTCAGAGCGAGGTAACGCCGCATGAGTCATGTTTTTTCGTGCGTGCAGCCGGCTCCATCGAATTATAAGACGTTGTCACGTCAAAAAATGGTTTTCCTATTTGCATCAGAAATATGCCCAATTATTTAAAATAATGTTACAAACTTTGGAAAGAAATGACCCTTTTTGAAAATATTTTACAAATACTACGTCTATTAATAGTATAACTATTATCTGCTTTCGGACTGAAGACGCCCGTGAATACCTACGCTTATTTATTACGTCTATTAATGTTTAAAATACTATAATCGTATGTTTTAAATAAAAACGTTAAATATTTAATTCTGCATCATTTACCAAATTATCTTTAACTACACATTACACCGCATTTTGGGATAGTATATACTATATAGTAAAAAAAATGCTCACCAACCTATCTGTTATGTAATTGTAATAACTTTGTTACTTAATAAACTTTCAAGAAACCTCATCTGAAGCATTTCTTCAAGTAAAACGGTATTAAAAATTCGTAAGATTGCGTTAAAACGATAGACATCCATATAAATATCTACCAACACTTAAAATCATTAAGTTACCTGTCGTTGTAAAATCTTCACTTCTAAAAAAACAAATCGGTTTTCTTTTAATAGGATAATCGAATAGCCTTTTCAAAAGTTTGCTTATTCTGTTTCCCATTTTGAAAAAGAAGACAAAGCAAAAACGTCAATTACCTATCAAAAAAAAATTAAAAAAGTTACTCTAAATTCTTGTGTTTTAGATCCTTCAAAAAATATAACAGAAATGAGCGAAATTTTTGTAAGAAAACTTTACAAATTAGAAAAAAAACCCAGTCAAGATCATATCGGATTTACATCGGGGGCGGCATTTGCAAGACACAAATGTAAAGATCTTCTTTTAAACAGATCTACGCCTAGATTCGAAACCACATTTCCTAGTAGTAGAAGAGTTTGTGGCGAAAAAAATAAAAAACCAATACAACTTTCTTTGTACAAGAAATCGAACTCCAACGCGCCTGGTTGCGACTCCGAAACAACGATTATGTTTGACGATTACACTTTTTCAATGGAATTTGATTTAATTAAATGAAACGTATGGGAATAAGAATCATTAAATCAATTAGAAATTTAAATATTTTTTTTCAGAAGAACAATGACCCTACCCATATAAAACTAAGAACTAATTATAATTATGTAACATCACATTAATAAATCATTTAAAAAAAAATGGTTTTATTTTATCTGATGCTAATTCTGTTGGAAATAATTCGTATTTGTGTAATGTGTTGGTGGGTTACTATACAAGATATTTTGTTAGTCGCTTCTATGCATATATTACTATTAATTACATATACCTATTGGTAATTACTGATTAAATTCATAAACAATTACTTAATTTACTTTCTGTAGCGATGTGCCCCTTCCAATGTCTTGGATACGCGCTGGCAAAATCGTAGATAGGGAGAAAAAAGCTCATTATGCTCTCGACTCTTGTTAATTAAATATACTTCTTCATACAGTACCTGCCAAAAATTTTGTTCAATCATGAATAGTAGTGCGAGTCGAAAACAAGCGTTAAAGCCTTTAATATGTCTTCAAATATAAATAAACATCTCGTTGATATTTTCAGTCGTAAATGCTACCAATAAGAGCACATTCGAGCAATGCAACTGTAGTGGATAAAATGGTCAATTTTTCCGTGCATCACTGTACGGATTATACGCTCCTCATCGGTTATGAGTTTGGCCGAGAGTTGTCTCCTTCCTTTTCTGGTCTAGTGCTGTTCTTTGCTACCTTGCGCCAGTCAAACTGAAGGTCACATCGCTACAGAAAGTAAACGAAATATACTTTGAAGGTCCGATTTCACTTTTAGATAACTTTACTGGGAAAACTGATCATACTATTGCAAAATGAGATTCTCCTACTTTGATTTCTTCACTGTTACTTAAATCGATTATATTTGCATTTTGCAGAGCATTAGTGCTTTGTGCTTAAAGTTAAGAAACGCTGCTATTCAATCCCTTTCATGAACAAGTAGACTTAGAAACGAATTACTTTGTAAAAGTATTCAAAGGGTTTAAAGTATTTTCAATTGCTTGGAAGTTCAAATCTAATTGCTTTCGAAGTAATTTATAATCCGAAATCCTTGAATTTTAAAATTTCATTGGGATTTTAAGGGCTAAAATCCTTTAAGAAAGGGCTTTGAGTTTTGGACTATTATGTTTTGAAGTTTAAAACTGAAACTAAATTTCTGTAAATATAGAACTGCACCATGAATATACCTTAAAATAGCAATTTTAGAAAATCTCAAAGTCCAAATGTAATGGTGAGATTGAAAGTCAAACGAATTAAAAAATTCCTAAATTAGACCTGCAACAAAATCTTATAAACCTGTGATACAAGTTTTGTTATCTTGCATAAAATATCCTTCCTTATCAGCGAGGTGAGTGTAATCTAAACTTTTACTGCCCTCTGCTTAATGTAGCCATGGGAAGCCGCTATTACACAAAAATATACGTATATCACTATGGAGTATGTCTAGAGAAAAAGGTTTGTTTCGTGTTGGACATTTACTTATTGAAAATTATTCTAGTTATTTTGTTGCCATGGTGGAATTCCACCCCCGTGGCTATGTCCAACAATATCTGCCCTGTACAAGATTCCCATCGAACTGAGTAAACCCGCTGAGCAAAGTTCGCTAGCTTGGGAATTAATGTGGAACGACCCTGTAAAGTATGCACCACAATATATTCTTTTAATAACCACAATGTTTACCCGTAAAATAAAGAAAACAAGACGTAATATCCCAAAATTTCACATAAAACTTTAAGCATCTAACTCGTGTTCCCATGCCACCCAAGGTGCCTGAATCCTCAGTAAGTTACAGACTTTAGATTTTTACATTGGCTTTATTGACATTTTATTTGAAATTGTGGATTGTATTATTTGGTTCAGTTTTACAAAAATCCATTTGACTTTCTTATATGTATACAAAATAAAGAATAATTGGATACTATCCACTGAACATAACAAAAAGTTCTGGTGATCAATATTTTATTGACACTGTGAGGCGTAGATTGTGATTTGAATCTCATTTTCCTCNATATATTTTAGTCCAGAATTAACAAAGCTGTGGAATCTTTGTCCTGATAATTTGGAGGCGTGCAAAGGCAAAGATCGCGACTTCTTGCCGTCTCTTGAAACCTACTTTTCCGATGCTATTGATCAATTAGAATCACCGACACCAATTAAGGACGAAGATAAACTGCTTAAGGACGGCAACTTCGGATGGAGAGCATTAAGACTGTTAGCTAGACGAAGTCCACATTTCTTCACATACACGAACAATCCAATGAACCAATTACCAGATTATCTGGAGATGATGGTTAGAAAAATTGCCACAGAACGTCCTGGCCGTGTCCAAGAGCATTCCGAACAAATGGATACAGAAATGGAAGAAGTTTTATTTAAAGCTGGCGAAGAAGAGAACACAAACGTTGAAATGAGACACGAAGACAGTGAATTTCAAGATGATCACAACATCCATCCACCTATTACCAGTGTTACATCGTTGCAGTTGGATTTGTTTAGTAGATTAATTTCCCCGAATTGGAAGAAATTGGCTGCAAAACTTGGTAAGATTTTATCTAATTTAATGAAACGATTTGTATTTCGGTTTTCTAAATATTTATATAATGTAATTTAGGCTACAATGCCGACGAAATAAAATTTTTCGAAGATGAAAATCCCACTCCTGAAGCTCAAGCAAAGAACATGTTGCATTTATGGTTTGAAGAAAACCAAGACGACACATTGGACAACTTGGCATATATTTTAGAAGGTCTTGGAATGACTGAAGCAGCCGAAGCTGTAAAAAGTGAAATCGGTAGTAATGAATCATAATTATTATGATAGTGTTAAATACTAAATGTAAAATCAATAAAGAAAATCTTAATACCTATATATGCCTTCTTAATGTCATATACCTATTAATCAATGCACAGTTAAAAGAATTAAAATCTACTAAATGGTTTACAAAATTAAAATTGCAGTACACTTATAAAAAAGACGTATTGCTCAGTAAACTTCTGAACATCTATGTAGGTACTACAGAACAATTAATTCCCTAATCTTAATCTTAATGTATATTGAACCACAGACCGTCACAGTATTGCACTCCTGTTACGTAATTTAAAATAATATTGAGTGAAAGAGAGAGAAGAGAAAAACAGCTAATCAGAAATAAATATATTTTGAAATTGTATCACACGTCATAAATAATCTGGGTTTAAAATCAATTGTTTTGATCTTCCAAGTTCTTTTTGCTGAATGAGGAATATGATTTTTTTTAATTAAACTAGTTGTTATTAATTCAAATCTGCTTTAACTTTCTTCCAAATTCACTCTGACTGCAAGCATTAGTCGTGATAATAAACCGCTGTAAAGAGTAAAATTTCGCATGTCCAGATTTGAAAAATTGCAAAAATGTACCCAAAATTATTAATCATTTCTATTGATTTAGCAAAAACATATTTACGTCTGACGTAATACGTCATGACATGTGTCACTTTACGCCACCTGCAGCGTTTTTAACACATACAAATTTAAATGACTGCAACTACTACAAAAAGAACGACATTTTGGGAATCTACATTTGAAAATTGGTTAAGAAGGACCCGAAATTATGAATAATTTCTTCCCATTTCACAAAAACAGAGATTTATCAAAACTATAACACACTGGCGCGCTTATGGCATATAACATAATTAATCAATCAATCAATCAATAGCACAATCTACTATAATGAGGGAAATTTTAGGCGTCCATATGTTAAAATTGAGTAAAAAGATTCCAAAATTATGAATCCTCTGTCAATTTGGCATGAAACACATTTTCGCCAAAACACACTTCACCGAATTTTGATGTCTAGAAAATCTGGTCTTCTTTGTTACTAAGTATATTGGGTTCCCTATACGCTTGTAACACTGTCCTCTCCTAAAAGTGATCGTCCCGATGAGTGACGTCGCCTCTGTAGGAAGCAAGCAGGTCAAATTGGACGATCATTTTTACCCGATGACTCCTTGTCTTCGGTGCATGTCCGGCATTTCCTGCACCGGTCTTCCACATCACCTCTACTTCGTGGCCAATAAAATCGCTCGCGGATCTTCCCCAGAGTCTTCGTAACACTAAAATGTCCCTTGTCATCGATTGCTTCCAAAATTTCTGATACTCTGTTCTTTGGAAGCATCAGTTGAAGCTTACATCTGATTCCGTCTGGACTCTCCCACATTATTTCCAAAAGGACGTAGTCCAGAGTACGGGAAGTCCACTGTGCCAATAACTTTTCGTTTTTTAACATAGGTGGCTCAGATCTACCCACGATGGTATAGAGGTTCCGGCTTCTTTCCTTCTCATTATTGGGTCAATGCCTTCGCACTTTCTCTAGTTTTCGATTAATTCCTTATCTTACCAGGATCCTTCAGGCTGAACTGTGATTAGATTACATTCTCCCTTCTTCTCCGCAGATGAACAATGGTTGCATTTTTCCACGCAAAGTTTCTATGGTAGTGCATCTGCATTGTCGTGGTTTTTTGCCTAGATGATGTTCGATGACGAACTCGTATTCCTGAAGTCGTTGTAACCATTGTACAATTTGTCCTTCCAGTTTCTTGAATTGTAGTAGCCACTTTAGGGAGGCGTAATTAAGAGGAACTTCCGTCCATACAGGTACTTTTTGAAATATTCGATAGTTTTAAGCACGGTCAGTAGCTTTCGACGGGCGAAACAATGACCGTTTCCTTTTCGTCTTGTACTTGGGATAATACACCCCAAGTCTCATATTACTAGAGTTGGCATCAACGATGAAGAGTTTACTGAACTGTGGGACTCCAGAGAATGTAATCTTTAGATATTAATTCACATGTTTTTGGCATTCAAGTATCAACTGGAATGAAGCTTCATTTTTTGTAAGTCTGTGTAGTGGTTAGTGTATATCGGCAAATCGTCGTATGAATCTTCGATAGTAAGAGCAATATCCCATTTCATGACGATCCTTTAGTACCTACTCACCAACTTCGTACGATCTTGACAGGATCAGCAATAATTCCTTCCGGTATTATGACATGGCCTAAACATTTCACTTTTCTTCTAAACAGGATGCATTTCTTAGTACTTAGCTTCAATTTTGCGGCTGATAATTTCTTAAAGACTTCGGCCACGTTCCGGAGGTGATCGTCGAAGGTTTTTCCTAGTGTGATGATGTCGTCTGGATAAACCAAACCGATTTGCCAGTTTTATCCTTGTAATACAGTGTCCATCAGTCTTACGAATGTAGCTGGTGCATTGCACAATCCAAAAGGCATCACATTGAACTGCCATAGACTATTTCCAGTCTTCTCCTTATCCTGAGGGTGCCCATCCACTTGTCAATAGAGAACCAATCAGCTAGATTTTCAATTATGTCGTCGATTCATAATAATGGGTAACTGTCCACCTACATTAGATTGTTTAGCTTCCTTTAGTCCATACAAAATCTCGTGGAATCAGCTTTCTTGCGTGCCAGCACTATAGATCCAAGAACTTTGATGATTCTATCACCCCCTGTTTATGCATGTTCTTTATAAGGTTATTGACTTCCTCTTGCTTCGTCCAAGGAACTCTTCTGGGTTATTGTTTGATGGGCCTTGCTATTCCAGTGTTGATGCGGTGGTATGTTAAGTTGATTCTACCAAAGTCCTGATCTAAGAGGGCGAAGATGTGTTGAAAACGTTCAAGAAGTTATTCTAATTGCTTGACTTGATACTTGTTGAAATGGTTATTTTACCGTTCCCCCAGTTCTGTTAAATTTGCAGGAAGTGGTTTTCCTTTCCAGTCCCAGTAGTGGATTTAAGCTACTGGTTCAAATACTCCTAACTTTGTGTTTTTGCAGATCTTTTACTTAAAGTGTTTCAAATTGGCTAGTTGGCTTATGGGCGAAAAGGTTCGTCTTGGGATATGCTAAAATTTAAATTGACTCCATGTTTTTGTAGAATGTTTAATTGAATGATGATATCTACTATGTCGGTTACAAATACCCAAATGGATAAGATCTCATTTCCAATTATAATTTCTACGTTGCATTCTCCATGAATTGGTGAAGTCTCTCCTGCAACTTTAGTCAAGATCAGTCTTCTGGTCAAACGTCTAATTCGCCATTCGAATACCACATCAGGTGTTGGATGCCATTGTGTCGATAGCCATTCTAACATTGTGCTGATTTATAGAGCCTTCTATGAATAATGCGTTGTGTCCAGTCTTAAGATGATGATTTCTTCGGGGGCTTGGTGATAATGTTTTTAGTTATATTTTAGTTGCTGCTGTGTTTTGTTTGAGGGACGCTCTCGACTTAGGTGGCCCATTCTTCTACAATTACAGCATTTTGGACGACCACTGTAATTCTTACAGTCTCGAGCAAAATGACCAGTTCTTCCACGTTCCCAGCATTTTAGATTGTTGAAGAGTTTCGTTACTTCTTTGGTTACGACTTTTCAGTTGCGTCTGATGTAGATGTTCTTGATGTAGCTTTATGAACTTAACTGATATAGTTAATATCAAAAGCTCCTGATGATGGCATAAGAAGGCGAAATACGTATAGAGTGATTAATATAGATATTAATAAACCAAGTGAAACAGTTTTCCAAGTGTCTATTTATTTTGTCTTAAAGTGGTTAAAGATTGTGAAAATGTTTCACCAAGAAATCACAGCCCAGATGTTAGACTATGCTTCAAACAGTTTCACGCATTGTAAATAATAAAGATTTGGTAAATGTCTAGATGTTGGCTGGGATCGGAAGAGGAGGTCTCCCCCACCACTGTACCATAAAAAGTTCGTGGCGGTCTCACCCCCATAAAAAGTTATGGGGCTTAGATGGGGGTGTGGGTAGAGGGGATCGAAAGAGGGTGGTCACCTGAGTAAAACCCCATAAAAAATTTGCGGCGGTCTCACCCCCATAAAAAGTTATAGGGGTTGAAAGTTGATTATTTTGACAATTTTCAATTCAAATAAAATTCAATAAAAAAAAATATTTTCAAGCGGGTGGAGGTGGGGGATCGAAAGAGGGTGGTCACTTGAACAAAACCCGATAACCTAACCTAACCTAACCTATCCTATTGATAAAGATATTTAAATAATGTTTTATATAACTTTCTCAATATTTTTATGTATTTTTCATTAGTTTTACCTTTGAATATTGTTTAAGAATGACTATATAAATATTTACATGCCTAGAAATGTATAAAAATTAGCATATTTATTAACTTTGAACCCCCATAACTTTTTGTGGGGGTGAGACCGCCACGAACTTTTTATGGTACGGTGGTGGGGGAGACCTCCTCTTTCGATCCACCCCACCCCCACCCCCGAAGGGCCATCGTCTAGACCTTTACCAAAAATTTATTATAATACACGACATAGGCTTTTAAAGTTTTACGTGTATATTTGTCCCTTTACTGTTATCCTTACACACGATGTCCCCAAATGCGAATTAATTTTTTTCAAAAAAACTACCTTAAAGCATGTATACCTATCTAGGTAGATTATTTTTTTCATTAAATATTGTTTATCTACAATTAAAGAAAAACTATAATATTCCTAAGTAGCGTGTACAGTTTTTACAAAAAATACGTAAGTGGTCCATGAATGGGGGGCCCAATGCGAAATTCATCCTTTGCGTCACCTAAGATCCGCCTTTGCAATGGTAATTTAAGTAAAATTGTTTGCCACTGTGTCCAGCATGTCGGGGTAGCGCTCATTGTTTTGTCATTGTAATCTTTATAAATTTTTGTATCGCAGGAAGCTCACTTCCGTAAGGGTCGTACGGCGACATCACGTCTAGCACGATTTAACCAAATGCACTGATCTACATCTCGCTTAGTATTCTGTTCCAATGTCGTTTTAGTTTCTTTTAATAAAAATCATCGGGAAGGTAAATAAATTTCAGCTCATATCAGTTTAATATTTAAAAGTTTTTTGTTTACTGAATAATTTTAATAATTCTAATAATTTAACAAGACAATTATCCTTTTATTCTTTTAAAAGCTTCTTTAGTTATAATTCATTTTATCTCACATACATTTATAACACTTTTACTGACATTTTCCTTCAGTTACTTGGTATATTTCTGTTTATTTTTAATAAGGAAGAATTATTTTCATTCACTATCTGTAGGTACCTATACCTTAGCGTAAAATGTAAAATCTTCTTGATGAAGCTAAAGAGTGATACATTTGCGACCCCCATGCGTTTCTTCTCATTCCTCTTTCCCATTCCAAACTTCATGATGAACCTAGAGGTTTAGACCAGTGATGGGGGACGTGCGATATCAAGGCCACATGAGCCCTTTGTGGACTTCTTCTGAAGCTTTAATGTTTGTTAACCCTTGTATAATTAATATTTTTAATATTTAATGATAGAGAGCACGACAATTTAAACATCGACAGAATTAGGTTAAGAACGTGCTGCCACCTGTTAAGCATACTATGAACTAAATGCTGAAGTTCTGCATTTCTGGCGGTCTTTTATAACCTAAAGATTAAGTCATCTCGAATTGATGAAAGTGTACAAAGACTATAATTATTTCAGGTTGATTTTACAGGTATATCAACTTATATGCATTCGGCCCCTTTTGTTGCTGCCTAATTTAAATTTAGCCTCTAATGATATAGGTTCCTCACCTCTAGTGTAAACCATATTTTATTAGCATTAGGGAAGACACTGGTTGTTTCGTTTCCTTGGATCACTTAGGCAAGTGCTGTACTTGTACTTCACAAATCATCCTTCACGTCTCTTCTGTTTTAATTTCGCCCGTTTCGTCTGTCTCTCCCGAGCCACCCTCTACTCGCTCCCATAATTCCTAAAAAGAAGCTGAAGAGGGTTTTCCGGCCTAACTTTTGCAGTTTAGGTCATAAGGACTATTCGTCGCATAAAATGGATATGTCCCTTATAGTGCGGTGAGAATGAATACTTTTTTCGCGTACACCCCTCAGGCCTAATCAAAAAATTAATTAGAAGTTTTATTTGTCACTTTTAACTTTGACGTCCTATTTCTATATTTAACATTTAGCTTCAAATAAGTTTATAATCTTTCTGCTATCAATAGTCAAACCAGACTAGCTCAATGTCCTGAAATCATCAAGAGAGTCGCGTTTAGTGAACACTTGAAATAAGCACTACAACAGAAAATGATTATTCTGTTAAATCAGCAACCTACCCCAACCTAGCATAACCCTCCTAATATGCATCCCCAAAACTCTTACTTCTCTTCCCTGTAAAACCTTATTTTTTATTCTGTTCTTGTAAAGGAGTTACAAGAACTAATAAAAGTCTCATCGAATCACTTCTAGTGTGTAAAATTGCTAATTTCTTTCTGAGTTATTTTGTCGCTAGTGCATTTCGGTTTATCCCAACGGTTACACACTCCAATGACAATGCATACGTGCTTTCTTTAGTTACATATCCGCGGAACACAAAACATCACACAAATTACCTCCCAAAGTTCGCGCTCTGTTGATTTCGCGCGTTCCATAGTGCCCATCTCCGAGGTGGTAACAAAAGAACGATCCACAGGTGCATGCGATTCGAATCAAGAAGGCAACGCGCTGAATTACTGTTTGTTTTATTATCTTGACTGTTTGTTGCGTTTCTATTAAAAGTGCGTCTTTTTTGTGGTGAAGTGATTTATGAACGGGCACTTATGGGTGCTTAAAGTTTCTTTGCAATGGTCTTTAAAGGGAAAGTACCTACAGGAGAATTGTTCGCTCTATGGAAAAGGAGATGAGTATTTTGGAAATCAGTAATTAAGTATGTAAGTGCAAGTAATAAATTATAAATAATAAATATCAAATGTTAGTTGTAGAAACCGGAAGNTGGAATGGTTTAACGCCTTCTGAAACATGAAAGAATAGTTAGGAAAACAAGAAGCAGAAACAGAAGCTAAGTGGAGCAGTAAATCGGATTACTATTTATTTACTAGTTTTCGCGAAATACGAAGATTCGCTCATAATTGGAAGCAGTGGAACTGCATATCTAACCAATTTTTGAACGTGAGCGGGGTTTTTTGAACATATCAATTCTTGGTAATTACTCCTTGGAATAACAAAAATAATAAAATAGTATCCTGTGCACTTTATATCTTCAGATAATTCAGGACCTTAAAAAAATAGAAATAAATCAGAAGATGTCTTCAAGATCATTCCTTTGAAAGTTGTAATTGTAACTCAAATTAAACTTTTTCTTTAATAAAAGAAAATAAATTTCTAGCTCAAAAACGAATAGTTTCGATTTTTTTTTTGTCCATTTCTTTCTTTTATCTAAGTATTGCAATTCTCAAGATAAACATATAAAGCAACTTTGGTGTGCAGAAAAGGAATTAAAAAGATACCGACAAATAACACCACATCAAATCATTTAAAATCCCACATACTTATTTCTCATAGTAATCTCCATGAAGTATTACTCTAAAGGTGAACTGAATCGCTTTTACAATAATTGATAATATGTTGTACCTTATCTATGTATATGCAAGTGAAATGCAGAGAAAACATGTAACATGGGTCCAAATTAGAGGTAGATCTAAGGTGACGCAAACGATGCACTCTACATCGAGCTCACAAATAGACCCGTATTCCAGTCACGGATGTCTTTTAAATTTGTTGATATTTAGGAATTTTATAGTTTCACTTTTATTTTTTTATGAATAGGGATCCCTTAAAGAAGTTAAGTTTAAGTTAGGTACGGTTGGGGCTGCGAATGTCCTAGATCCATCACTGGGTTCTAGCCAGTCTCAATTTAGGTATATGATATGAAAGCGCCGGAGTGTCGTAACCCGACTGGAAATTAATTCAGAGAACCCGGATTATGATCAGATGCGGATAAGATTTTCCGTAATACGGGCATCTGATCAATTTCTGATCAGAGTACAGTACTCTATCCATTGATCCACCGATCTGATCAGATTCTGATCAGAGTACAGTACTCCATTCCTTGATCCGGTCATCCGATCAGAAATTGATCAGCGCACAGTACTCTGTTGATCCAACCATCTGATCAGAAATTGATCATAGTAGAGTATCCTATCCCTTAATCCAGTCATCTGACCAATTTCTTATCACAATCTAATGCTACAAATTCTATTACGATTTCGGTACAATCTTTAAATCAAGATTGTATCCGATGTTCTGAGCTGGATCATAATACAGAACCTGATTTATTCTGTATGCAATATTGTTCGACAATGACAAATTTATTGTTAATTAATAATAATTAATATTATATTA